TCAGAAACCATCAGGATTAAACAACTCAAAGCAGGGCAAAGAGCAGCTGAAAGGCACCCGAGTGAGTCCGAGCAGAGTGAAAAAAGGCAGAGCATAAAAACACATCAGTGGAAAGAGACTGGAAGCAGGAACAGCATCCAAGAAAGAAAAGCTCCTGCAGAGTCCCTGTGGCCAGGAGTGTTCACAGCACTCCCTCCCTGCCCTGGGGACCGTGGGGTTTGATCCTTTGGCTCCAGCAGCAGAGAGCAGAGCTGAAGGAGCTGCCTGTGATCCCTGCCTCAAACAGCAGGGCTGGAGAGAGGCACTGCTCATAACCTTCACAGCTGAAAGCAGCTCCCTCCAGCAGCCCCTCAGCAAGCACAGGGCCCTGGGCTGTGGGGGTGCAGCCTGAGGAACACAAACCCTGATGCATTTCAAGCTGTGTTGCTCACACAGAGCAGCAGCTCCTTGGATCTGGGAGCAGACACATCCATTGCCTCTGTTGGAATTCAGAGCCACGGAGCAGGAACAAGCAGGAGTGGATCAATTAAACTCAGGTCTCTACATGGGCAAAGGATGTTCATCTCTAAAAGCTGGCAGTTATCACTCCCAGAGCAGGAGATGCAGGGGCTGAAGGGAAGAGCAGCACAGAGCTCTTCCCTCTTTGCAGCAGCACAGATGCTGTGGGAGGAGGGAGAAGTGAAGCACAGACCAGAGCCTGTTCCCCTTCTCCCTTTCCCCTCAGACACTCCATGCCAGGCCAGATAAGGCCTTTCAGCAGCACACAGAGCTGGTTTGCTGGGAAAAATCCCTCTGCAGCTTCCCAGGAGAGCAGCTGGGCTCCCACCAGTGCCTCAGGGCCAGCTCTGCCCCCGTGTCCCTCTGGCCCCAGCTGACCAGTGGGATGCACTGGGGATATTTCAGTTCCAAGCTGTGCATCCCCAGCTCAGTGGCTGCTGCTGGGGCTAAGCAGGGGTCGTGGAGCAGGGCTACAGCTGTGAATTATCTGTGTTCTGTAGCGTGGGGATGCAGGGTCACGGCCACGGAGTGAGAACATTCTGTGTCACCCCTTTGTGCTGCACAAAAACTCACCCAGCTTTGGAAGAACCAGCTGATATTCCCTGCTCAGAGATTCCCTAACTCAGCCCCAGACTGAAAGCAAAACAAATACCTCTTAAATTTCACTCAAGAAATGCTCAAGAGAAGAAAACAACCCTGGCAATGAGACAGAAACAAACCATCCTCACCAATGCATGAAGGAGCATCGGCACACACAATATTACCGGGTGTGATTCTCAAAAACCAGCCCCAGCTTCTACCTGGAGCCCAGTAAAGTTCTGGCAGTGTAACCCCCAAAGCAAGAGGCAGTTCTATACGGCCAGGCTCAAAGATCCTGTCATTGCCAAAAAATAAAAAAAAATCAGTTCCATTGAAAGCATTACAAGCGTTTCTGCACAATAGGAACATTTCAGCTCCTGGTTTTCAAAGCACTTCCACTTAACTGCTGTTAGAAAGGCTGAATCAGTGCTTGTGAGCCCAGAATCACAGCAGTGCCTTGCTTTAAAGGGACGTGGCAGTGCCTGGAAACTGGAGCTGGTTCCAGCTCGGAGCTGCACATGCACAACCAGCCCTTCACTGACAGCTCTCCTGGCGATCTGCAAACCCTCCTTCCACCAAAAGACATTGTAGGAGCCCTGCCTCCCTCTAAATGCTCCCTCTAAGTGAGCTCATGAGGATTTTCTGTGAAAGCTGGATGAGAAATGGGCAGAGGGATGACATCCACACACGGCACTGCTCTGTGAGCATTTGCAAGGAAATAAAATTTCCAGTGTGATCCTGCTGGTGGGGAGGTGCAGGGAAGTTCTCATTGATCTTCCCTGCCTGTGGGATACGAGCCCAAGAGGCTTTTTGCAGCCCCTGTAGCAAGTTGTGCTCGTGCTGCTGCTCTGCTCCTCCCAGAGGACGCACTCTGAGGCTTGATGCACTCGCCACCACTACAGAGAATCATCCTGGATGTCACACTTCACTCCAGCCGACACGACCTCAAACAGACAGAAATATCTGACCCCAACCTGCTTTCCTCCTTCCCTGTTCCTCCCCAGCAGCTGTCAGAGACAAAGAAAAACCAGTCCTCTCCTGGTATTTGCATTCTGCTTGGAGCGCCCAGAGCATTCAGCCCGGTGCAGGAGATGCACTTCAAAATATTTAAACGCTTGTGTGATGTTGATCAAGTTCAGGTAACACAGCTCTGAAAGGTATAATCTTTTACCAGCTACCATATTATAGAAGTCAATCAACTCCTTAAAATGCTCTGGAAGTCAAGCTTCCCGAGCACTCAATCTGCCATTCATACTTCTACACACAGGTGAATCATTTCAGCAGAACTTATCTAAATAAAGCAAAGCAAGCATCAAAGAAATGAAAACATCAGGAAGAATCCAGACAAGTCTGGCAACACTGGCTCTGATTTCCAAGGGTGAAGGATCCAACCCTGCAGCAGGCTGGAGCTGGAGCAGAAGTAACATATGGACATCCAACCCAGATTTCCAAATTTAGTGTGAAGATAAGGCCCAGGCAAAGTTGCCTCGAAGCCAGAAGAGCTGGGCAGCTGGGGAACCATCCCTTCATTAACAAAACATGATTTTCTGGCTAAGCCACTTGCAGGACCCCTGTCTCCACACAGCTGTGTGTAGTTTTTAACACTGTGGAGTTAAATTCTTGCAGGGACCAGGGGCAGGTGGGATTTGGAATGGAATATGTGGGCCAGACCCTCAGCAAATGTGAACCTCACCCTCACAGTGTGTCCTCACTGCAGGGAGGAGTCTAAATAAAAAAAAATCACTCCAAATAAATAAAAATTGCGTCACTCATCTCTTTTTCCTCTTAAAAAACTCATATTTCTCCCCCCAGTCTCTGTTGGTTGCAGCTGAAGTTCAGCCTTTAAAATACAGTCAATGATTTCAGGAGTGCTGATTAAAAATCTTCACTAAAATAATTTTTAGGAGACATTATCTGCTAGAGTTGAGGACTTTCCCCTGATGCCCAGCACTGCTCTTCTACAGAAGCCTCTCACCAGTTTTTATGTTCAGACACAGGCAGCTCTCGCATTCGCGGCACGCAAGCAGCACTCATCATTTGGAGGGACTTTTTCATCATAAAATAAATATGAACTGAGAGAGAACACGCATTTGTCCAGGAGGAGGATTGCTACGGCCGCCCGAGCTTTTGCTGTGCAGCAGGATTTGGTGTGCCACAGAGAGCTCCTGCCCTGACAGCAACGAGGGGCAGCGAGCCCGCAGGGACGGGCAGGGATGGGCTGAGACCGAGAGATCAGAGGGATCTAAGAGGGACCGAGTGGAACAGGGAAAGGACAGAGCTCTGCCACCACCAGAGTGTCCCCACACAGCCCCAGCGGCCCCGCGGGGAAGGCACCACCAGGGGTTCTGATCCATCCCCTCTGCACATCCCAAACTTCCCCCGGGGGTTCTGATCCATCCCCATCCCCTCTGCACATCCCAAACTTCCCCTTGGCCGGGCAGGATGGGACAGGGCAGGACAGGACAGCACCCGCGGGGTCTGAGCGGGGTCTGTTGTTCTGGGGGAGCTCTGGGGAGGCTTGGAGGGATGATGGGGGTGTCTGGGGGCTGCTGAGGATCCCCGGGTGCAGAGAGGGAGTGCCAGGGGCAGGAGGGGAGTGCCAGGGGCTGGAGGGATGTGCCGGGGTCCCGGGAGAAGGAGGTGCATGCCTGGGGGGCAAGAGGGCTGTGGGGGGATCACGGGGAAAGGAGGAGGGGTGCAGGGTGCAAGGGAGCCAAGCCGGGATGCTGGGGACACTCCGGGGGGCAGGAGGGGGGTATCGGGGTGCCGGAGAACAGGAGGGGTCTCCGAGGGGTAAAAGGGGGTGCCGGGGTGGAGAGGGAGGCTCTGGGGGGCAGGAGAAGGGTGCCGGGATGCCGAGGGGCCAGGGCAACGTAGAGGAGGGTGCCGGGGGCAGGAGGGGAATGCCGGGGGAAGAAGGGGGTGCCGGGGGAAGGAGGGGAATGCCGGGGTGCCGGGGACGGCTACACGTGGAGCTCCGGGACGGACTCTGGGCAGAGCGGGGCAGAGCGGAGCTGTCCGGGAACAGCCCGGGAACAATCCGGGAACAATCCGGCAATTAATTAACCGGGAGCTGTCCCGGAGCTGTCCGGGAATTATTCGGAGCTGTCCCGGAGCTGTCCGTGAATTATCCGGGGCTCTCCCGGAGCTGTCCGGGAATTAACCCGGAGCTGTCCCGGAGCTGTCCGGGAATTAACCCGGAGCTGTCCCGGAGCTGTCCGCGGCGCCGGTGCTGAAGGCGCGGCAGGAAAGCGCAAACGCGGCCGCGGCAGAAGAGCCACGGAGCACCAGGACGGGCCCCGGGATGGGCAGGGGGATGGACAGAAGGGTGCGGGTGGCCCTGGTCGGACCGTGGGGAGGAGGAACTCCTGGGCAGAGGATGGAAAGGGAAAATCGTTCGGTGGATGGTGCAAAGAGGGAAGACTTACACAGCCCTCGCAAAGGGGGAAACCCTTGGATAAATGACTCAAGGGGGACCCCTCGAAGAGGCAGCGCAATGGGAAATCGTTTGGCCAGGTGGCACAGGCGTCGGAGAGCCACGGCACTGGGGAAACCCTTGGAAGGGTTGGCAGAGGAAACTCATGGACAGCCAGAGCAAAGCGTAGAGACCGGGATGGGCGCTTAACAGGGACACTCCTCGGGCAGAGAGAGCCCCTGACAGCAGTGTAAAAACTGAGCCCTTGGACAGCAAGTCCAAAGGGGGAATCCCTGGAGGAGCCATGCCACGGGAAACTCTCGGCAGGCTGCACAGCTGGGAACTCAAACAGAGCCCTCAGGTGGGCAGCTCCAGGGTTTCTTGACACCACACTGTCTTCCAGGGTGAGGGGCCACAATTTCTCACTAGAGAAACCCTGAGCAGACTCTGCCAAGGGGGAAGCTCGGTGAGGGGGAGCAGGGGAAGGAGTGAATGCTCATGAATGTACCTGTGAATGTTCATCTCCCGGGGCGGGCGCCGCGCCTTGTCGTAGGCCACCTTGGCAAAGACGCCGGCGATGAGCACGAAGGCGATGGCCCCGCACGAGATGTACACGGTGGCGTTGGTGCTGTCCTTGTCCGGGTCGTACTTGTTGGCGTCCCCGTCGCCGCCGTCGCCGCCGTCGGCGGGCAGGGCGCCGCTGGCCGTGGTGGGGTGGGCCCACTCGGGGCTCTTGTAGTTGCGGCACAGGCTCTGGTTGAGCTTCTCGGCGCGCTTGTTGCAGCAGAAGCGGTAGAAGCAGGTGCCGCAGCAGTAGCGGAAGCCCGTCAGGCTGTTGTTGCACTCGAACTCCTTGTCCCACTGCCCGCTCACGTCGTAGTACCCCCAGCACGTCTCGTGGGCCGGGGCCGAGCCCCCGCCTCCGGGGGCCGCCTTGCCGCCCCCCGCGCCCTTGCCGCGCCCGGGCAGCGCCGTGGGGGCGGCGGCGCCCGGGCCCGCCAGCGTCTGGTTCAGGAGCTCCCTGCCCGGCTTGGGGGTCCGCCGTGCCGCCGCCGCCCCCTGGGTCCGGTTGCCCTTGGCGCGGGGGGGCCCGGCCGCCTGCGCGGGCAGCGGCAGCAGCAGGGCCAGGAGCTGCAGGGAGAGCAGGAGCAGCGGCAGCAGCAGCAGGTGCCGCGGCCCCATGGCGAGGGGCGAGGCGCGGGGGGCTCGGGGGGCGGGCGGGCGGGGGGCTCAGCGGCGCTGCCCCATGGAGCGGGGCGGGCGCGGCCGGGGGTCCCGCTCTCGTCTCCTCCTCAGCGGCGGCCGCCCGGCGCCGGGCGCTTCACGCTCATGCCGGCGGGCGGCGGAGCCCGGCGGAGCGCGGCTGGAGGCGGCGGGGTCCCGGCGCTGCTCCGGAGAGGGGCTGCGAGAGACGGGGAGAGGGTGAGAGCCCGCCGCGCCCCGGGCAGCCCGGCCCGCCCCCGCCCGCCCGCCCCGTGCCCACGGCCTTACCATGCCGGAGCGAGCGGGACTGCAGCGGGGCCGCGGGGCTGCCCGCGCTCCCAGCCCAGCCGGGGGCGGAGCGGAGCCGAGCCGAGCCGAGCCGGGAGCCGGGGAAGGACCGCCCACCGCTGTCGGGCCGCTCCTGACATCACCGGGACCGCGCCGCGCTCCGCCGGCACCCCGGCACCGCTCCGCCCTCACGGGCAGCGCCCGAGAGAGGGGGATCCGCAGGGAGACGGGATGGGAGAGGGGACGGGGTACGGGTAGGGGTGTGAGAGCTGGTGCGTGTCCCCCGGGATGTGCTCCTGGTGAGGATGTGGTGAGTGCCACTGGACCTGTCCACCGGGACCTGGTCCTGGCAGGGATGTGGTGAGTGGCCACTCTAGCTGTACCCGGGGATGTAGTCCTGGCAGTGATGTGGTCCCTAAAGGTGTGTAAGGGGTGTGGACCCCCTAGCTGTCCCCAGGGGTGTGATCCTGGCAGGGATGGTGAGTGACACTGTAGCTGTCCCCGGGGACATGGTTCTGGCTGGAATGTGGTCCCTGTAGGTGTGTGTGACCCTGTCCCTGTCCCAGGGCAGTGCCCACAGCACATCTTGTGTGCTGGGCACACCTTGTCCCCAGGGTTGCCCAGCCGTGCTGCCCCCAGGCCATGCTGTCCCCTCTGCCCTGCCAGCCCTGCACGGGACAAGCCTCTCCCAGGCTTCCCAGGACTGCTGCTCCAGCCTGGGGCTGTTGGCACCTCCCTGAGCCCAGCCGAGTGCCAGCTCCCTCTCCCTGTGCCAGCTCTTGTTCCCTGATGTGCTTGGCATGGAGAGAGAGCAGCACCCCCACCCCAGCCCGACACACTCCCCACTCCTTCCAGCTGTTCCCAATACACTCCCCACTCTTTCCAGCTGTTCCTGCTCCAGGAGAGCTCTGGGGTGCTGCAGGGGAGGGCTGGAACTGCCCTGGGCTGCCCAGTGACCCTGGCATGGCCACCACAGGTTTGTTCTGAGCCAGATCCCTTCAGGCACAGCAGCTCTCACTGCTGTGAGCCACCGAGGCAGGATTCCCTCAAAGCCCTGGTGCTTCCTCCGTGTCCCACTGGAAACCCACTGAAGCCTCCACACACGTTTCCTGAAGGAGCCGAGGTGCTGCCAGCTGTAAGGACACACAGAGGACAGCGAGGGATCCCAGCAAGGAGCAGCACACGGAGGTGGGAGCTGAGGGGGTCCCTGCAGCTGCAGACAGGCAGTTTTCAGGAAAGCAGTGTAGGAGGAAGGGAGAACCACCCCTAAAATTCCCTTCTTGCAGCCTGTGGGAATCATCTCCTCAATCTACCAAGATGTGAGTGCCCACAGCCCATTTGATAACTCCCCTTAGGAGAGCTCACAGACTGAGGCAGGCAAAGAAAGCTTTGGCTGTGCCATCTAAAGCTGCTCTGGTGCTGGGGAGCACTTGGAGAAATTGAAAATCCCTTCAATCTTCACAGAAAGAAGGGTTGCTACCCTTCCATGGCTGCTGAGAGCTGCAGATAAGGGAGGTGCCCAGGTGAATCCACACCATGGGCAGTGGCAAAGGGAGGCAGCCTGAGGCCACTCAGGGTGAATCTGAGCTGCTTTAATTAATTTCTGCACCCCTCTGAACCCCAATACCCTGAGCCCAGCTCCTCTGGGGATAATTCCCCTGGTATGAGTGGCTGCCAAACCCTGACACCAAAGGCTGCAAAGCAGATTTGACTGATGCAAGGAGGCCATCTCCAAACTGTGGGCCTTCCACGTGTCCTCATCAAATTCACCACAGAAACATCCTCTGTCAGCCCTGGGTTGCCTTGAAACTCTGTCTGTGCTTCTGCAAGGCTTTTGCAGAGTGTGGGAGGCACCCAGATGGAGCAGGGCAGGTCCTTCCCCCACCTGTGACCCCTGCACACAGGAATGGGGGCTCTGCAGTGGCTCTGCTCAGGAGAGAGAGCTGCCACTCAAAAACCCAGCATCCTCTCCCAGCTGGACAAGGCATCCTGCTGCAGGCAACCCTTGGGGGAAAGATCCAATGGTTTGAGACAGAAACACCTGGCAGAGCTCTGTCCTTACACCGAACATTACAAGGGCACAGAAGGTGCCTGGTGAAATGCTGAGGGTCAGGTTTTCTGCTCCACAGGATATCTGGGGGCCGAGATTGGCTTTTCCTCCGTGCCTAAACCAGCTGAGCCTTGGTGGTGCTCCTCTGGTGCCACCACAGCTTTATCACACCGAGGGGACGATGAAACCCCACCCAGATGCCTCTGCCTCCTCCTGCTGCTCAATTTATCGCAGAACAAGCTGAAGAAGGACAGAGCTTCCCGGGATGCCCGGTATAATCCCACTGCCTTGCCTGGGGCCAAAATACCGGAGAGAAGAAGCTGAAGCAAATGTGGAAAGAAGGAAAGAGTCCCTAAGGAGCCACGCTGGATTTCTGGGACTTTCCTGGGGTTTGGAGCCGCGTTTCTGGCGGCGGGAGGGAAGGACAGAGCTGAGATGCTTGTGGGGGAAATGCCTGAGCTGCACTCCCCCCCGGCTGTGTGACAGCGGCTCTGTGACAGCTCCATCCCCACCTGCAGTCACTCCAAAACCTCCAGCTCTTTCTCTTTCATCTCCCGTCCCATCCTCCCCGGGTTGTTTTTGGCAGCCTGACTGTTCCAGAGCTGTTTTCGTGTTTATCTCCTGTGCCGGGTGCTTTCATCTCCGAGCCGGAGCAGCCGCGGCTGCAGGCAGGGAAGGGAAGTGCAGCTCCACAAAGTCCCGAAATCCGATTCCAAGCCAGCATCCCTCCCTCAGCCCCCTGCCCTGCCCCTATCGGCCTCGGGTGACTTTGAGAGGAGTTTCTGATGACTCTGATGTGCTCAAAAGCTGATTCCTGCTCTCCAGGGGATTCGGTTGTGACCCCGAATCTTCATTAAAATGAGCCCAGCACTCCGGACCTAATTTTTCTTCTAAAATTAATGTAGCTACAAAAAGCTCCTGATAGGAGTTTGGTGGGTTATTTCTGTGGAGCTGGATTCCTTCTTGTCCGAATAGGGATGGGTGGATCCCGGGTTTGTTGCAGGCTGGAGGAGGCTTGTTCCAGGTGCCAAGCAGGAAAATGCCAGGGGGACCAAGCAGGCACAGGGGTGGCAGAGCCTCACACAGGCTGGGCCAGATGTGCTCACCCCCTCCTGCAGCTCCTGGGCAGCTGCCTCAAAGGACAGGACAAGAAACCCAAGCAAAACAGGGACATCTCACCAGCTTTTCATGGTTGGTTTGTTCCCTGCTGCCCGAGTGGATCCTGTGATTTGTGTGGTTTTGCACAACTGGAGGAGCTGGGATTCTCCTTCCCCATGGGACCCCCTCGTTTCTCTCTCCCTGTTCCCATTGCTCAGCCCAGTGCAGTGGCTGTCCCAGCTCTGTCCTGCACCTGTCCCTGTCCCCGGCTCCTGTTCTGCCTCACCCAGGGGCAGGAGGCTGCCAGGCTGTGCCCACCTGGGCAGGAAAGGTGCCACCAGCCCACCTGGGAGAGGTGCAGGGACTTCTCTGAGGTGTCCCCAGTGTTGGGGAGAGACATGGCAGCAATGCACTCCCTCCAAATGGGGCCATCTGCAAGCAGAAGACAAAGAAACTTCTACAGCAAATGAGAAATTCCTCATTGTTTATCCAGCTCTGCTCATGGAGAAGCCTTTAGAAAGTGCTTTTACCACTGCAATTCTGCAAAACCCCAAATTTTCCTAATACCCAACCTAAACTTCCCCTTTTTTGGTTTGAAGCCATTCCCCCTTGTCCTGTGAGTCCAGCCTTATAAATCACCTCTCCATTTTTCCTGCAGGCTCCTTCCTGATATTAACAGAAAATGCAGAACAAGGGTAACCTTCCAAACATTCTCTACAAACTGTGGCACCCCTGGGGATGCAGGGAGAAAGAGGGGGTTGGAGAGACCTCAGGATTGGAGAGACCTTTCTCTTTCACTGTTTTCCTGTGTGATGGCTCCTCCAGCCCTGCCAGTCTGGCAAAGATCCTTTGATCTGCTTTGCTTCCTCCTTTGCCACTTCAAGTTTGGGGCTTCTCCAGGGTTCCTCAGCAGCACACACCTGAGGAGACACCTGGCTGTGCCCAGCTGGGCTGTCAGGGGTTAATTTCCCTTACCTGGCTGCTTTTGCACAGAAGGGAGAGCAGAGGGAGCTTTTCTTTTCCATGTCATTAGAGTCCCTGCTGTCACTTCCATCAGCAGCATGGCACAGCCTGTCCCTGCCACCAGGGCAGGCTCCTCTCCCAGCTCCATCAGTGCCCCACAGAGCTGCTTTTCCTGGCATCTGGCATGGCCAGCAGCCATTCATCCATGCATCCATGCATCCATGCATCCATCCATGCATGCATGCATGCATCCATCCATCCATCATCCATCTATCCATCCATCCATCCATCATCCATCCATCATCCATCCATCCATCCATCATCCATCCATCCATCCATCCATCCATCCATCCATCCACCCATCCATCCATCCGATTGCCGTGGGGATGCCCAAGGTGGGATTGTTGGGGGTCTGGGCAGGGCCAGGGGTTGGACCCATGGTCCTGGTGGTGCTCTCCCAGCTCAGGACACTGCTGGGTTCCAAGCACAGGGCTCACACCATAGTCTGATAAAGACACAGGAGTTTTCCAGGAGTTTTCCTGCCAGGTGCCAGCCCCTCCCTCAGCCCCCATGCCAGGCA